ATTAGATTATCATATAGTTAAGCATATTCAGCTTATATAAAATCATAAAAAAAATATTTTTGACAAAAGGCTCGGAGAGGTATTTTGCTAGTCTATGATCCAAATGAGTTGACTCGAGTTTGAGTCAAGTCGAGTCAAAAATTTTCTTACTCATTTGACTCGACTCATTTCAACTTGAGTTGACTCGAGTTGACTCACGTGAATTGATGTTATACGAATTACCATTTTGGGAATTCATATAACTCATTTTTGGTAATTTCCAATTTTTCGATAGCCAAAAATTTCTTTTTTAGAAAATTGTATACCGCTATATCTATATTTGGAATCTTGTATAACTCAATTTAGTACAATCCCTGAATTGAAAATATACCGGTTATGAAGCTTTAATTGAATATTTTTAACACGTTTTCTTGAATATCTCAGCATTTAGTGATCCGTTAGAAAAAGGGTGTGGCAGCCCTAGCTCAGTGGTTAAACCACGAGTCTCCTATAAGCTAAAGTTTCATTACACAGTGATAGGCCATCAGTTCAGGTATCAGCCAATACATAAAACTATATGATTTTCCATAAGGAATTTCTTTGTAACTGAAATGATGGACATATAAACTAATATGCGTACAAATTTGGTTAATCGATTTGTCGATTAACATTGATCATACCTAAATACTGCACAGCGTTAGAACATGGGAAAGCAAATAAAGCCAGGGATTAACAGAAACTTGACCTTCACTGATTGGTCTGTAATGAATACAGTCTCCCTTCTCACCAGACAGTGGCCCATATTTCCGTAAGTGGTTGATGTCGAAGTGATTACATGTATAAAATAAGGAAGTGATTGACCAAACATTAGTAGATTGGATAACAAACTAGTAATAATTAGACTGCATTGCATGCCACAGTACTGGCCCAAATCGAGCTGTTACTAGGGTTAGAGGTCAGTTTCGATTCCTGAGTTGTTTGACGTTCTGAATATTAAAGTTACCTGTTAAAAGTGGTCTATATAGATATGGTAGCTTCCGGGGCATAAGCCGTATAAGGTCACTTCGTATCAAAGTCAAACCAAATAATTAGATCTTGATTATAGTTCACCCAGACTGCTGGTAAATATAGTGATAACATTCACTATGACTGCGATGTACCCGCTATCCAAATTTAACAATACCAGGATTGTTATGGTACCTATTCTCGCATAAATTGGGGTATGTGAAATAGGATGTCATACCGTAAATAACACAACATAGGGGGATGTGCTCAGTACTCGAGGAACCTGAAATAATGGGATTAAAGGTTAAGAGTGATCAGCCGCATAGTCCTAGAGACACCTGATTAACTGGTTTCTACCAGAGGTTAGGTTTGCATCAAAGCTATCATCCCATCTGAGCCATCTAAAAAAAAAGTGATCTGTTAGAAATGCAATACATATCATTTTGATAAGCACATCTCGGTGAACATGATGGTGCAGATTTCACAATATTCTGATTGGTAGATCTCAAGATAATAGCCTTCGAAGCCAAAAATCAATTTTTCAACACATTTCTTGAATATCTCTGCATTCAGTAATCCATTAGAAATTCAACATATATCATTTTGATAAGCGCATCTCAGCGAACACGATGGTGCAGATTTCATGAAATTCTGATCGGTAGATCATTTGATAATAGCCTCCGAAACATTAATATTATTTTATTATTTTATTATTTATATAATCAGCAAATATATTTTGGGGGTTTTTATTTGACTCGAATTGAGTCGAGTTAAATTTAAGTATAACTCGAGTCGAGTCGAGTTAGAGTTTTAAAATTTTTTGACTCGACTCGACTCGACTTGACTCATTAGGAGCTCTATCATTTCTTTAGGATGATTGATTGTTCCTTTTGGGATGATTTTTTATCATTTCTTTAGGAATAAATGTATTATTCCTTTTGAGATAATTTCTATTATTTCTTTAGAGAAATGTTTAGCAAAAATTGGTTTAACAAATTTTGACCAGTAAGTTACAGTTGATTTGTTGAAACTATTGAAATTTTGCTAAATATTATAACTGAAAATTCTTAAATATTAAATTATATATGGTGTAATAAATTACTATCTATTTTGTAACTTAAACCAAATTTTGCTAAATCATATGACTAAATCAGTTAAATGTTTGTCAAAAGATATTAGTGCTGAAAGAAATGATTTTGACTAGTGTTAAGTTATATAATTTTTTATAAATAAAAATTTAATTATTTTTTAAAAAAGTTTGTGACAATACTGTAAATATGAAAATAAACTTAATATGTATATCAAGTTAACTTAAAAAAATAAGTAAAATATATAAAAAGTCAGAGTTTTAGCAAATACTTTGTTAGTATTATTTAAAGCTTAAATTAAGATTATTGATTAAGAACTTTAAATTATATTATTATTAAATGGGCTAATCAACTAATTAGTCAATCAAAGATCTATAACCAACTGTTTACCAACTGTTAACTGACTATTATAATTTCTAGTTCTGATTCATTTTTCATGCTATTTGAGTAACATTTAAAGTTTTTATATATATTACTTTTTTTCTTATCCTGTAGAATCATTTCAGTATATGTAGATACTACATTTATCTTAATAATTATAAGACAGGGTTAAGATTGTTGTATAAATTAAGAGTTTAGATAGACGTCTAAATGGTAAAAGTAAAACTTAGTTAATTATATTAAAACCTTATTAAAAAATCTGTAAAATTTGGAAAAAAGTAAAATTATATCAAAGCTTATAAAAATAGCGAAACTATATCAAACACTTAGTAAAAATTTAGCGAAACTAAAGGTTTAACTATTTTACCAAATCCAAAATGAGTTTAGATAAGCAACCTTAGACAGGGTCTTAAAAAACAAGTAGATAAGAAAGTTTGAATCAAATATAAAAAAGAATAGAAATAAATACAGTATAATATTACAAATAAAATTAGGCATTACTTTATAATGTGACTATACAAACTATGCTGACTATAATATTTTAAACTATGTAGAATATAATATAAAAGTTTCACAATAAAATTTTAAACAATATATAAATTAGTTTTGAACTAAAATATTTAATTATATCAATTAGTACTAAATAATAAATTGATTCTAGCATTTTTTTTATTTTATTGCAATTAGTTTTTTCTAGTAATAATATATAATATTAATTCAATTTTGATAAAATTGATATTATAATACTATATATTGTAATAACATTTAGTTATATGTAAAATTTTAGTGTTATTATTATATAGGATTTTCAATCAAAACTAATTAACAAACATTTTTATGGTTTTATATGTGATAAATTGAAAAATAATTGGCAAATGATTGGTAAAATGATCAGCAAAATGTAATAAAATTAAATATGTTTGCTATGTTATTCAAAAAGATATTAAACAAAGTAAATTTAATCCAAATTCTATCAATGTTTAAATACAATTAGACTTAAAATAAATATTTTCAATTAATCAGTTCCAATTATCTAAATTTTTTTTCAATTGGAATTCTATTATTGTTTATAACTATGTTTAGATATCAAATATTATATAGATATTAAAAAAAAACTACTAATATTATAAGTAGAATAATATTAATATAATGATTAATATAGTTAGTATATATAAGTATAATATTAATTTTGTCTAATACATATATAATTCCTAATCCTGATTATAAGTATTAAAGAATTAAATTTATATATTATTATTATTATTATATGTAATTTAAAAGAAATGTAAAGACTTTATTATTAAATTTAAACAAAATATACTGATAAGATAAAAAATAAAAGTAAAATTTTTATTATAATATTTATATTATTAAATTTTATTTATTAAGGATGCTATTCTAATTGTTAAAAAATTGTTTTATTTTAAATAAAATTAGTTTCAGTAGTTTCTGCAATTTACTAAATTAGTTTTATTAATTAAATTACAGAATTTTAATTTCAGATAATAATATTTATCTTTTAATTTACTTTTATAATATTATTTAATCCTTATATATTATATATAATAAATTAAAAATCTTTATTTTAATTTATTTAACATTAATTAATTTATTTATTATTATGAAAGATGTGAATTTGATTATTTAAAAACATATCAATATTTATTAAAATATTTAGACTATTTTAGGTAATCTTGATTAAGATGTTTGAAGTTAAACTATTTGTTTATAATAAATAAATTTATTTAAACTTTTAATAATTTTTTAAATTCAATGAAATTTAATTAAATTTTCATAAAGTTGTTTAAAAGATTTAAAAAAGTTTTTAATTTTTAGCATATTAAAACAGATTGTGATATGCATTATTAATCCTCTTTATAATTAACATATATACCTGAAAAGTTTAAATTTGTAAAGTTTTATAAATTTAGAAACCTATCTTTAATTTATTTTACTTTGTATTAAAAATAAGTTTATATTACCTTGTTCAAAATTAATAAGCATCTTTTAATTCAGATTAGAAAATTAATAAACGAATATACGAAAATTTTTTAACCAATATAGTTGATCACATGATTAAGGCATTGTAAAACGATAAAACGTTTTATTAAAAAAAAATATCAATTTATATATCATGAAATTGTTTACAATTATTATATAATGATATTAAAGAAAATTACTGTTAAAAGAATGACTAAGAAAAGTTAATATATATACTTTTGTTTATAATAAAATGATTCTTAAAAAAGAGTGTCTAATGATATGTAATAAATAATTTGTGATATAATACTTTTTATAGTGTCTTTGATAATAACTCTCCCCCCAAAAATATGTTAAGAAAATAAAAGAATGACGGCAGTGTTTTTTTTTTTTTTTTAAAAAAAAATTCTTTCCTCCCTTTAAAAATTAAATTAATCAAAATATTATAATATTTTATGAAATGTTTCATGTTTTTTTTTCTTTTTTTGTCAAAAAAAAGGAAAAAAAAATAGATTTCTTTTATTCCTTATCCTTTTCCTTTCCTTTATCTTTCCCCTTATCAATACAAGAGGTACTTGCTGACATTTCCAAAATATCTTCCAACTTTTCCAAAACAACTTTGGCATTTGAAGTTTCAATATTGTCCAATACTTCACTACAAGCATATAACCACCAAGTTTTCCAAACTTTAATCATATCGTCAACATCAATGACTACGTCATAATCTTTTTTCAACAAAGCGGGCTTAATTACATTATTAGTTAAATTAACTAATTCACACTCAATTTTTTCAACGATTTCAAATCTCCATTCAGTAGTACAAACACCTTCACTTTCATCGTATTGTTCAACCCAATTACAATCATCTTTCAACAAGAGTTTTGATATGAAAAGAATATAACAAGCAGCATTTAACCAATCACCAATTTCAACTAATTTATAACAAAATTTTTTATAATTTTGTTCAAACCAATTTATAAAGAATTTTCGTGCATAATCTTGTGATACATGTTGCCCCGTTTCAATATCGTAAAAAAAGCTTCGCCCGCTCGAATTATAATGTTGATAATGTCGAAAGAAAGAATCCGAATCATCATTGTTATCGACATTGCTATTATTATTACTATTATTATCGAAAAAACCATCATCAGATAAATCTTCATTTGAACTCGAACAATAATCATCATAATCTATTCTAGCGGTATGATCTCCATATTCTGCGCACATTGTTTCAAAATGTCTTTGTGCTAACAATTTAATAAACATTTTCCTTGAAAATATACGTTCAAATGGAACTTGCAATAAAAGAGCATCCAATATTGATTCGGCACTAAGATCATGATCAGATTGATGTGAGGTGCCCGTCGACTTTGAAATATCTTTGCGCTTCTCGTTGATTACCGGTGTCGTAGATGATGCCATGGGGGTTGATATCGTTGATGTGGTGGCATATGCAGCAGATTGCGATATTGACGTGGTTGAAGAAGCGTTAATGTATGTGGACAATCGATTCGACGATGATGTAGACGTAGTATTTGAGAAATTTTTCAAATCATTTCCATCCAATTGAATGTTAATCCCTTGACGAGCCAATTCTTTGTTCATGGAAGAATACTTGTTACGTATATCTTGTTCATATAAAAATTTTAGAATAAATTGTAATTTAACAGCAGTGACCTCAATAATTTCGGAAACCATTTCATGTTTATGTAAAATTTTCGTTAGATCCGTACGTAAATCTTCGTAAATTGATTGTAATTCGAAATGACGAAATACTAAACAACAACTTTCTAAACCTTGATTAATTAATATAACAGATTTAAATCTTTCCATTAAGGTCCTTAAAAATAAGTGACGTTCATTAAGCTGAGCTAATTGCTGTTCTATTTCCGCTTCACGATAATAGATTTCATTATTCGTTAAAGAAGAATTTGATGATGAACTAGTACTTCTAGATATTTTCTTTGATGAATTAGAAGATGAATAATTTTTTTTAAAATCCATTACGAATGAAAAGATACCATTAGATGATTTTAATTCATCCTCACTTTCATGATTATATGACCAGTCATTCGAAAATGTTGATAATAATGATTGTTTGAACTCGTTTTTTAAGAAGGTCATTATCTCCGTGTGACGTTTTCTTAATGAATTACCATAAACGTAAAGTTTTTGTTGGCACATTAAATATCTATAATGAAATTGCATCAATGCATTTATGTACCAACGCTGTTTGCCAACGCTAGAAATGGTTGAAATTTCTTTTGAATTTGCCAATTCCCTTAGACGAAATCTTCTGATCATTCCAACAATTCCTTTAAGTAACATGTCTCTCGTTGGTTTAGTATTTTGCCATGACATAAAATCTACGTCTCTTATGTTTTCATTATTGTTACCATCGTTGGAAGGGGTGATATTCTCTATGGTCTTGACCGTTGATGACGTTGATGTTGATGACGCTAACCCAGAGGTCAAATTAGATTTGGTTCCAGAATGTTTATAGAGGGTTAAATTGCTAAATTTCTCAAGGATTTCTTGTAGAGTACAAGTATGAGCAAAATAATCTTTTCCAGGTGGAGATTCTATTATTAAAACTCTATCTTTAAATTTCGAACAAGTAAATAACATTCTTTGTACAAGAACCGAATACAGGCACTCAATTGATACACCATCCTTTTTTGTTCTAACCTTAACTACACGTACGATTCCCTTCTTGTTGAAAAATATTGCAGAATAATCATTACCATCTGATCCTATCGCCACGTTATAAACCCCAGAACGGACTACTATTATCGGCACACATTTTAAATCTTGTGGTTTAATTGCCAATGATTTCTTATGCGATAATGATGTTATATTTGAAGGGGATAAAGGGAAATCAAATATTGAATATAGAGTTGAAGTAAATCCTCGTAGCGTTTTACACGTTTGTGAAATCGCGCAGCGGTCCAATACGTTTAACGTTGGTTGAAGAAGTACGTTTTCTACTACGCATGTTGGTTGGGCGAGTAATCGTGGTATCCTTGATGATGTCATCCCGAGCGGCGCAGCAAGCGAAAGAAAAAAACTCTATTGGAATTCAAATTGCAATTGATTTTTGGTAAATTGATATTTTATGATACATGTACAGACTTTACGCCAAGGATATTCCAAATTGTAAATGTCTTTATTGAAAGGAAAAGAAAGTAAAAAAAAAAAAATGGATGGATGATATGATCTATTGAAAAATATACACATGCATATGTACACAAAAAAAAAAAAGGAAAAAGGAAAAAATATTAATCAGTAATCGATTAAAAAAAGTTTCCTTTTTTCTGTCGCGTTAAATTGGATTTGAAACAAATTTGAACCAATTATAAATTACAGGATAATAAAAAAGAAAGCAAAACAATGAAAAAAAAAAGAATTTACCTTTTTTAAAAAAAATCTCTAAAAGCAAGAAAAAAAGTAATTTGTAAAAAAAAAAAAAATGAAATAAAACAAATTTTAAAGAAGTTTTTGTTTAATTATATATACTGTATATATACTGTATATTGATTTACACACACTATAGAATATTATCGGAGAAACACTGTGAAGATTTCCATAGAAGAAACGTGACCTACACGTAACAAAAATAATTTATTGGATTAGGCGATGTAAGATTGTTACAAGATTCTAGATCTAATTGTTACCGTACCGATACCCACCTTGGAATTATTTTGCAGGAAGGAAATATTTTTTTGAATTTATGAGGAGAGATTAATATGGGCGTACGATATCGTTTAGATTGTGGGGTTTTTACGGCGCAAAATTTGATGAATTTTAGAACTCGGAAAGTTACTGCGGCATAATTATAAAAAAAGGGGGTCTCGTGTTATGTACCAAATAAAAAATGATGAATTTAGGTAGAACTAATAGGGTTACAAAAAAAAAGTCGAATTTAAAGGGGAAAAAAGAATGGGTTTGAAATAAAAATAAAAAGTTGGAAGTGAAAAAAATATATCGGGAACTTTTATAATATTATTAATTAATAATAAACCGTTTATTTAATATATAAAATAAGGAATTCAAAAAAATCACCTTTTGATTTTATTACACAATTTTATTAAAAAAAATTTCCGATTTGGTAAATCGAATCTATATAAGCTCTAGATTAGTGTAACAAAGAATAAAAAGTCTTGGCAAAAAATATATAATAGAAAAAAAAAAGAGAACCAACCATACCCTGACTTTTTTTATTATGCATGCAACATTTTATGCAGCTAAATCAAAGTCCACGTGATCTAAATTATATGGAAACCTTTATTATAATCGCAAAAAAAAATGCCAAGAAATTTTGTAAAACTGTGGAATATTCTATTGAAGATCTGGTAATTAATATTTAATCATGTGATCATTAGAAAGAACGCTATTGCGATTAGATGATCAAAAAATGTCTTCTTATTATAAATTTATAGGATATTGTTGGGAACACAATGTCTTGCCGTATAAAATTCGATTTTAAAGTTACACTACACAATTAAAATGGCTAGTTTCCATAACCATAAACCATTCCCCTATCATGTTAAAAAAAGAATCGGGTTTGTTATACTATCAATTAATTGTAAATTGCCAAGCAAATTATTCCGATTTCAAAAATTCAGACAAAAAAAGCGAAACAGATATAACACGAGAAAATCATGTGATCTGTTACACAAATTGAGTAAATGCAGTGTAACATGTCGTGCATTTTTTGTTTCCAAATATAGTTATAATGCATATTATAAACATTGTTACACATGTGGTCAATTGGTAAATTGATAATTGATTAAATAGATCATATACTCTTTTAATTCATATGTGATCCAGTTTTACCTAGACCATATTTTTCAAATATTTTTTTCACATCTTGTAATCCTTTTAATTCACCTTGAGCCACTACTGTAACTTCACCTGTACCATTACCCTCATTATGTACTTGACCTCTAACTACTTTTCTTGCTATTCTCACAATATCTTCCAACGTAACATTATCAATCTTTTTACACATTTCTTCCACAGGTATTTTATAACCATATACCTGAACCTACAATTTCAGAATACATTTAATTAAAGATTAATATACGCCAAATTAAACTTTTCAATTAAGCATATAAAAAGCACAAACCTGTCTCCCCAAATCTTCTAATTGTACCATTCTGGATTCTAAATTCATGAGCAAACTACTTTTTAATTGATTTTTGGAGCGTAAAAGTTCTAACTGTGTTATACTTTCATGTCCAAAACCTGACACAGAAGCAAATTGTTGTGCAATTACATCTATAATGGAATTATTAAACTCTGGATTACATGATGCCATAATACCAAAAAGTCCAGAATCGGTATAACAGTGATTAAAGCACATGCAAGATTCCATCAATGAATACCTATTAAGCACATGTGTAAACAGACGAGTATGCATTCCTTTCCCAGGTCCACCTGCTGAAAAAGATCCACCTCCCCCAAGAAGCATTTGAAGTACTGCAAGTCCATATATATCTGGATCATGAATTGGAAGCCCTTCAAAAGCAATGTTAACATATGTATTCGGAAGTGGGTGATCTAATAACGTCGAACCGCCTGTGTAATGTGCTCTCTGAGTTACATGAGTTGCTGTATAATTTGGGTTTGCATGAAGAAGTGAAGAGGCTGCCGTTGTAATTGTTTTATATAATGATGCTCCTGTTTGCTTTTGTTTTGGTGTTATAGGTGGTAACAAAGTTTGTGCCGAGAATTCAGGTGATTTAGGCATATCGCCAAAATATTTCATAGCCTGTTCAACAGCATCTTCATGTTGAGATCCAGCAACGGCTATAACCATTCGTTCTGGACGATACCATGTTGATATATATTCTTTAATCAATTTTGGTGTCATAATAGCAAGTCGATCCTCTGGACACAATAAAGGATTTCCTAAAGTATTATCCTTGAATGCCACCGTATGAAGAAGTTCCGGTAATATCATTTCAGGCTTTTGCCATATTTCCTGAATTTCATAAAGTGCTGTTTGCTTTTGTTCCTCCACTTCTTCTGGAGTAATACAAAGATTACGAATAACATCTGAAAAAAGAGCTAAAATCTTAGAAAGATCCTGCGAGAAAATAGCAGACTGATACATAATTGTTTCACGACTACTAGCACACATTATATTGCCACCAAGAGAATCTACTATCGAGTTAATTTGATCGATTGAATGATTCTGTGTGCTCTTTTTTTTATAATAAAAATAATAATAATTTTGTAAGAACAATTTTCTTTGAAATATTTAAAATATATGCGCGTACTAAAACTTACCTTGAATGCTAATCGATCCAAGATATGACTTATACCTAAAGTTCGTTGTGTTTCGTATCTAGATCCTGCATCAATATATAAACCAACAGCCGAAAAATGGCCTGGAATATTTTCGGTTGCAACACGCACACCATTTGAAAGAGTTGTAATATGTGTTATACCATTAGAATTTGATAATGGTACTTCTAATTTCTATGTAATCGTGAGCGCATATAAAGGAAATGTATCAATTTCAAAGCCTTAAAATAAAATACAATAATAAAATACAAGGATAAAATGCAACCCAACTATACAAACCTTTCTTGTGTTGGTTTCTATATAAGGAAGGTTCGTGACTGAAGAAACAGAACGAACTGAAATGTTTCTTAAGGTAGGGAAACGGTGACGAAATGCTCGAAGTGTTTGAAACGAATACATTAAATTCTCTCCGAAATCTAGATGGGAATTATTTTTTGAATTTCTTACAACAAATCACGTGATAGGTCACACCGCTTGATTTTTTATTTTTTTCATATTGAGGTACGAGACATAGTTACTATCCGTACCTCAATTTTAGTCTTTGATCTATCATTTATAATAGTTTTTTTAATAAAAATATTAAAGTTTAAAAGTAAATTTAATTAGTTTTAGATATCTTTAATTACTGTAATCTTCATAATCATTTTGAAATAATAAAATATCTTTGTTATTATTTTTTTTAAGTTTAAATACAGGTTTTTTTAAATATTTTTAATAAAAGTTCTAAAAATTATTATTAATTTTTAAATAAAATTTATTGAACCTTTTTTTTTATAATTAAATAATAAGTATAAATTAATTGGGAAATATAATTCAATTATTTTATTTACAGCTAATTTCATATTTAATAATTTTCTCAGTCGCATTCATTCGCAATTTATTTGTGGTCTATGAATGAAATTAGCTGTAAATAAATTATAATTAATTAATTTAAATTTTTTTAAATTAATCAAACTAATTAAAAAAATAATAAATATTTTTATTTATTAGTATATGGGTGGTATGCTAATAAAATTGAGGTACGAAACATAGTAAATCGTATGATCCGTACCTCGATTTTAATAGCATATCACCCATATATTTAATTTTAAGAATAATATTAAATAAATAATTATATTAAATATATAATATAAAATTATCAGTAAATTTAAATTTAAGATTTTATTTTTATTTATTTGCAAATTTTTGGAAAATACATAAATTTTCTAATATTAAAAATTTTTATCGGGCATTTACTATTTGATGATTTTTGTCAGTACAACTTGTTACTAAGCATTTATTATATTATTACGCATTATAGTATAAATAATAGATTTAATATAATAACTATCTATTTTATTTATTAAAAGTGCAATTTTTATAATACTTTTTGATTACAATTACTTTCTGCTCATATTTTTTCTTTTTATTCTTTATATCGTTAGATTGTATAGAATTAAATTCTTGTAAAGGCGTTTTGTATTCTTTTGCATTAATTCTTTAGCAGTAATGAAATTGTTATAAACTGAATCATTATTTTCCTATATTTTTTTAAAAAATAAAAAAAAATATATTAAATATACCTTTACGATAATGTTTCGATATCAAATCATTATCGTCACAACATTATCGATTTGATATCACATCGACCTCAATTTGATATCGTTAACCATATCGTAATCTTATTGTAACCATATCGTATTGAAATCGAATTGATAATATTGTAACGATATCGAATCGATATCGTTAAGATATGAATATTAATATTGATTCCATATTGATGTGATATCATTATAATATAGAATCAATATAGATATTGTTAGAATTTTAAGGGTTTCTGTAAAGCTTTTCTATTATGAAATCAAAAAATTATAGTTTGCGTTATCAAGTTGTAGATTTGCAATATGAGAATACATATATATAAAATTTTATAGAAATGCAAGCTGAAATAATCTTACTAAAACAGCAAATTATTGATCTTAAATATGTGAATACAAGACTTAACCATTTTATATCTACTTCTATTAAAAGCAAGTATCAAAAAAAAGTATGACTGAGAAAGGTTAAGTAAATAATAATTTAAAGTAATGAATTAGTCTTAAGTATTTTACATATTTTTTGATTGAAAGATATTTTAACCATATAAAATGCATACAACTAATTTACTTAATCAGTTTCTGCTTGAATTAATACCCTTTATTCTAAAGAATTTATCAATACAAGATCTTAAAAAATGTTGCAGTATAAATAATATATGGGAAGGTTAAGTGATTGAGAAATTCACAAAAGATTAATAGTAAATTGTACATTTATTAATGATAGAATAACTGTTAGGATAATGATTAATTTCAAATCTCAGTATAATAGTATCAGTAAGACACTTGTCTAAAAAATTGGATTATATATAACTAGAATATATGGATCGAAATATCTTGCAATAGAAGAACTTAGCATTGGCATAACAAATGCTATCAAGAAAGTAATGATAAGAGAATGGATTTATGATAAAGAAGTTTCTGTTTCTCTATTAATTTTTTGTATCAGAGAGTTCACACTATAAGAATAAATCATACGAGCATTTTTAGTAATTGATAAACCTGAATATGATTTGGTTTTAGGAAATGTGTGGCTAACATATAGAAGGCGGTCAGTAGAAAAAAGGAAAATCCAAAATTTTTGTTAATTTTAATTATTAAGCTAATTTTATGCACATGACCGAGATCAGCCAAGTGATCCAATAATGTAAATTTTGACCAAAATTTGGATTTCCCCTTTCTACTGACTGCTTCCCATATATAGAGCATAATATTAATAAATATCAAAACCTATGCAAATCGCCTTATTAAAGCTCCTAATGAGTCGAGTCAAGTCGAGTTTTAAAGATAACTCGACTTGACTCAAAAAATTTGAGTCAAGTCGAGTCGAGTCAAAAAATTTTAAAACTCTAACTCAACTCGATTCGAGTTATACTTAAATTTGACTCGACTCAACTTGAGTCAAATGAAAACCCCCAAAATATATTTGCTGATTATATAAATAATAAAATAATAAAATTATATTAATGTTTTGGAGGCTATTATCTAATGATCTACAACCAGAATTTCATGAAATCTGCATCATCGTGTTCGCTGAGATGCGCTCATCAAAACGATATGTGTTGCATTTCTAAAGGATCACTGAATGCAGAGATATTCAAAAAAATGTGTTGAAAAATTGATTTTTGGCTTCAAATGCCATTATCTCGAGATCTACCGATCAGAAGATCGTGAAATCTACACTATCGTGTTCGCCGAGATGCGCTCATCAAAATAATATGTGTTGTATATCTAACGGATCACTAGACGCTGAGATATTCAAGAAAACGTGTTAAAAATATTCAATTAAAACTTCGTAACTGGTATATTTTCGAATTCCGGGATTGTACCAATTTGAGTTACACAAGATTCCAAATAATATAGTATATGGTTACATAAAATCCTAAAAAGGAAATTCTTGGCTATTGAAAAATTGGAAAATCACCAAAAATGAGTTACATAAAAATCCTAAAATGGTAATTTGTGTAATATCAATTCACATGAGTCAACTCGAATCAACTCGAGTTGAAATGAGTCGAGTCAATTTATTGACTCAACTCGACTAATAACTCGACTCAAGTCAAATGAGTTGGAAATTTTTTGACTCGACTCGACTCAAACTCGAGTCAACTCATTTGACTCGTGAGTCAACTCGACTCATTAGGAGCTTTACGCCTTATGACCTATTATATATTAATAGACCTAAAGAGATCAAAAATCAGAAAAGGGCTAAAGAAAAAATCTTTTACCTCTTTCATTGCATATATTCTACAAATTATTATTTCCTGATTTTACTACAATTAATCCAGATAGAGAAGTTATAATAACCAAGTTGTTCAATTATAATTGTGAATTCAATGGTCTAAATGAGTATTATAATTTAGACTATGCTGAAATAGAGTCATCTAGCTCTGAGACTGATTCTTCTGATTCTGAAACAGATTTTGAATATAATAACGATATACCTTCTCTGATAATTATAAATACAGCTAATATCCCAAATGATTTAATTTCTACATTTAGTAATTATTACCTTTTTTTTCATTAAATTTGAAAAAAAAAAGGTTAGTCTATATTTTCTGAGATCTATAAATGAAAAAAGAAATAATATTTTAGCATTATTTAATCAGGAGGAATTAACAGAATAATAGTACTCTACCGATCTAACTAGGCTAAAGCAGTTATTATTTTTTTTTGTTTAAAGATTTAGCATATATTATTTATGGCATATACAAGTATTTTTAATATAACAAAAGTATTAGAACAGATTTTATAGTAATAGATAAATTCTTTTATTCTACTCTATTTGTTTCCCGATTATAATACAGATATAGTACTTCTATTCTATGGAAATGTATTGAGCTAAAATTGAGTAGTATATATTAGGGTTCCGCAATTCGATTTGACATTTGAATATTTGATTTGAAAATCAAATTAAATACAAATTCAAATTTATATTTGATTTGATTTGATCAAATTCAAAT